AAATGAATTGAATTATAAATACTGTGTTGCTTAAAGAAAAGTCTATCTGATACAAAGTATTGAGGTCATTTTTCTGGCATGATATTTAGTGGAAAGCTTTTTTAAAACCAAATTAGCAGTTTTGGGAGTACAGCTCTACTTAAAATTTTGGCATTTCCAAAAGTGATATGGAAATTTGGTAGCATATTGGAGTCAGATGTAAATAAATTGTATATCTGGGGAAAGGGGGACTTCCAGGAATCACACTTGGGCAGGTAGTTTATTTTTGGCGTATCTTTTGTAAAAGCAGCGAGGAATCTCAGCAAGCTAATAAGCTTGCAAGTCATCAGATTTTCCACATTCAGTCATGTCCTGTAAGTGCAATAGAGTGTATTAATAGTACTCTGATGTAACATTTTCCAAGTGTTTTGTAGTAATACTGGTTGGGTCATGTACTTCTAACAAGCATTAACATTCCTCGGGGAAGACTCAGGGTTTGAAGTGCCTTATACCACCATAAAATGCGGAATAATCAAATCTGTGAAGGACAGGCCAGTGTAAACCTTGCAGGAATATATGACACTTGTGTATTGTGTAACAGGCATTTTCTCTTTTTCTATGATGAACGGGAAGAAATGTTTTTGAAGTACATGCATTGTATATATATACATGAAGCAGAACATGACTTTGCATAATCCTCAAGTTTCCTACTCAATCAACTCATGACTGTGATGGGTTCCTGGAACGGAAAAGAACTGGAATTGCTGCTCTCACACCCAAATCTTTACCCAGTATCCTTTCTTCCTTCTTTATTTTCTGTAGTGCCTGGCTCCCCATTTGATTGTTGGACAGTCAGGGAATGTTCTTTGCTCCAGGCTCTGGAGAAGGTGATGGTGAGAAGCCACACAGTATCATGGGTTAGTCTTTTGATGAGTACATCCTAGAGCATCAACCTGACAGGTGGCTGGGACTGAAGGATAATTGTGTCTAGGAAACCTTTGATTAATCTGCACACACTGGAGAAAAAAACAAATCTCTAGTTGAAAGATACAGCACTGTCTCATACGATCCTAGTTAAGAGAAATTCCTGTTGAAGGTAATGTCTCCCCACTAAGTGGACCATTAGGGAAAAGGTTCATTCTTTCCTTTATAAGAACTTTTACTATTTCACAACAGCTATGTCTTTAATTGATGACTGTACAACCTGCCTGTCAATAGAACTAATAGTCAATGCCACTGCAAATGTTGGGATGTATTGCTTAGTAGCCTAAAAACATGTTTGTATTTCAACCCCAGGCTCAGTCTGAAATCTCACACTGCCTAGATATATTCTCAAAGTTTGACACAGCCCCTTGCTTTGGGGATGCTCAATAAGTCCTTACACATAGACATCTTTCCTGCTTTCTCTGCAGGTAAGGGTGCTTCTGAGCAAGGCTGCTTGTGAAAGTACATATCTGCAGGTTCACATCTCCTGTGACTCTATGCCAGGGCAGCCTGTTGTCACCTGTCCTGTTGTAGTTCCTGAGCTCTGCAAAAGCAGGTCATCCTGTCCCAGAGAAGACATTGCTCACAGCCCTTGAACCACAAAACCTTTGAAGTCAGGGGCAGAAATATTTTATTCTGTAAAGAGCTTCATACATACACTTGTATCCTACATAGAAGCATTTACAAGAATGACTCATGCTTTGCAGGTTACATGAATTTCCAAGTGTATTTTAATATGGAGAAAATGATTGTTGCAACCATATACAAGGAGGGAAATCTGATTTCAGTTAATATAATAATTCATGTAATAGATCAATATCTGGTTCTGACTTCTAGAATCTTGGCTTCCAAACTCTTCAGAAATTTATGGGAGAGTCAGTAGAAAGCCTCTGTTTTGAAGTGATGTTAAGGTCAGGTAGCCACCTCCTTCCCAGGACAGGAGAAGAGGAAACCTTCCCAGGAGCTCTTCAGGTGTTTGTTAAGACCCTAATTTCAGAGGTATGTATGAAAAATAGATTTATGTAGGCATGAATGGTATTTACATGTGGCTTTCTATTTCTTAAATTTGTGTTGTAAGACATGAGATGTTGCCATTTTATTCGGTAGCTGCATTGGTACGTATTAGGTAACAGTGTGCCAGGGCACTGTGGGGATTAGGAGCTCCCTGGGGACGTTCCCCAAGGGATGGCAGGGCAGGACCTGGCATCCAGGCCCATACCACCCTAGCCAGGGAGCAGGGCAGGCTGGAGGTGCAGCGTTCGGCACTTTCCTGGGACTGGGATGGGCTGAAGACAAGATGGGAATGTGAGTCATAGTGAGAACCTTGGGGGAAAGAGGGTGTGTGGCTAGCACCCTTACAGACATCATTGAACTGATGTTTGATTAAACCTTGAGGGCTTGTTTCACTCAAAAGTGATCTAACCAGTCATTTGTCATCATCAATGGTAGGTAACTGCTAATACAGACTAACCATTTTCACTTTTTTATGCGTTTGAGAGCATTTTTAATTTAAACTTCCTTTCTTCTGTTGTATCTTTTTCTTTTGTATGGAATGATTATTTGCTGTTATCCTGAATATGAAAATGTCACATAGAAGATATTCTGGGCACTTGTAAATTCAGCAGGCATTTTCTTGGCACCTCAATATTCCATTGATGCAGCTGGTGCTTTACACTTTTCATTTTAAAACCCCGATATCTTGCCAAATTAGCTGAAGCCTAACGTGGCCTTTACCTCTGTACAACTAATAGGAGTGGTGTAACCACCCTTTCCCTGTCCAGAAGTAGGAATGAATGTAGAAGAAAGCAAATGCACAGAGTGCTCAAAGCTCTCTGATTTGTATTTCTCAAGATCAGTGAGCTAATTGTAACAAATTAATTCCTTTTTCATGAGTCGTAGCTCTTCGTTCTGGCCACAGATCAAGAAAATAGTCAAGATCAGAAAGTTTCCGTGCTTAAACCCCGTTTCATATCTTAGATATGTGGAGTTGATAGCAGGGTACAGACAGGTCACTGCCCTGACTGCAGTGCGGTGTCACAGCTGCGTCGTCCCTCCAGACAGCACTTGCTGGTGGTTTCTGCTGTCCCACATCATGTCTTTGGTTGTGGTGGTGTTTGTTTGTTTGTTTGTTTGTTTTTGTCAAGTTATTCAGGGAATAATGTATTTGAAAGAAGCTTTAGAGAAGAGATGTGTTTGTGGCCATTAGGACCAGAAGAGCAGGGAGTAGCCTTGAAAGGAGGACAGAAGCTTTGTAAGATAAGCACTTGGTAACAGAGGACAGATTGGGGCAAGAATGAGAGAAAGGGAAAATGTCATAAAAAGAAGCAGGGCAATGCAGGAATTCAAAGCTTTATTTGATGTTATCTGGGTTGCTGGCCTCCTGAAAAGCTGTTTCTCTAGCTTGCTGCCCACCACAATGTCACAATTCTGCTCTTGCCATACAGGGGTGTGTATTAGCTCATATAGCTGGCCATGGAAACCCCGTTGCTTTAGTTCTGCAACTGAATCTAGAAGTGATAACTGCATCTAGAAGTGATAACCAGTGGCAAGAGTGCTGAGATAGCCCAGAAGGAGAAGCGGAGCAGTGCCTGAACACTGCAGTGAGTTCTTCTGAGAGATGAGCATCCACCTTGGTGACTGAGTTCCCAGAAAATATATGCTTCACAATCGAGCACTACACTGGGGCTGCGGCTGTGACCCAAACTGGAGGCACGTGTGCCTAGGCAATCAGGTGATCCCGGCTGCCCCGTGCTGTGCAGAAGGGCGCCTGTGTTGGCTCATGTGCATAAGCAGGGACTGGAGTTCCTTCATCTTCTCAGCAGACCAAAACTTAGCACAACTCAATCCAAAGCACACCTAAATAAACGAGCCTTTCAGCTGGTGCCAGTAAGATTTCTAGTCTCTTGCCCGTTCCTCGGCATCCTCATGTCCCCAGGGAATACAACTGAGCACAGGAGAGTGTAACAATCAGGGCTTGGAGATTATGTAGCATACTGGCATAGCCTGGAGGAGCCCTGTTTGCTGACACTAAGTTGACTACAGCTTTACGGTCATTTTACACATGACAGCATGTCAGCTGTGTAAACCTTGCTGGAACAGGACACTGCCTATGACTAGCTGCTGTGAAATTGAGATGATTTGTCTGTGTCTAGGTAGAGTGAAAATCATTGCTGTTGTTTGCTAGTCATTGCAATTTCTTAAGCTTCTTTTCTAATTCAGTGGAATTTTGTAGTGGAGACAAGGCATTAAGGGGTTCATGATGCAGGTGTATGCCAGATCCCCACTTCATCAGTGTTCCCCATCAGCCTCTCATCAGATCTAATGGGTGTCACCTTCAAAGCACCAGATCATAGTATATTTTGTAGAATTTATTCCGAGGGAAATCTGTGCCATTGCAGAGGGAAGTATTATTCAGGGTCACTTAGGGTAACAGAAGTAAGCTCTAACTGATGCGATTTCTGTAAACAACCTGTGGAATAAGGTACCTAAATGGTAACTGGTGTAAGTTTGAGCCCACGGATTCCTGGGCTTTCTGTGTAACTGTATAGGTAATTATGGATGTGTTAGTCTGCACCTTGAACCAGATCAATTTTGTAACTAATAATTACTCCTACTCTCATTTTTCAGACTTAACAAAGCTATATAATATTTGTGGTGTGGTTAAACAACAGGACAATAAGGACTGAATAAACAGACTTTATGCAACACCACATCCTAGTACAGATCATTTTAAACAGTAAAAGCAATAAAGACTCCCACTGAAAAGTGGCTGGTGTCAAATAACAATTTATTCTGTTCTGGTTGACTTGCCTCTGTCTAAATGACAGGGGCTTAGATACCAACAGGAAGAAATATTCCAAAAAATGCTTGTGATACCCTGTAAAATTCTTGTCACTTCAAAAGCCTATGTGGAACTGTGTGCTTTGGTGTTCTTTTATTTCTCACATGTATAGAAACAATAAAGGAGGAAATATTAATGCTTATCAAGACTGAAGCTTACTTATTCCAAACACCTTTCCCCAGCCCATCAGTGGATCTTAAACTGCATGTCTGAAGTTTGGGTGGACTTCTGGGTTGACGTCACATATTGTCATCAAAAGCTTTTTCATCATGCTCTCCAAGTTCTTGTGGTAGCTGCTAGTGAGATTTCGGATGGTTTCTGTTGTTTGCTCTTCTATTTTAGCAGAAAGGTTACCTTGGGAGCCCATTACCTGAAAAGCAGAAGTCCTCTGAGCAAAATAAAGGGTCATATATGACTGTAGTTATTGTACTTCACCATCTGGTATAAACATACAACAAATGGATCATGGTGCTTCCTAACAGTAATGGTATGAACTAGGCTGAACTATATGCATAAAAACAGGATTAAAGGAGGAACCTTTTCATAACGCTTACTACCAATGGGTATCATGCCATGTAACCAAGGTTTCCCAGCTCACTGTGGGCGCAACATTGTAAGTTTCTTGTCTTTTGTATTGCTGATCTTAATTTGTTTTTCTATTTTAATGACTGGTCAACTAAGTTCTATCAACAATGTGCTCACTGGGCCTCACAGAGAATGGATGTGAGTGTGGCTCAGGAGCAAAACATGGGAAAGCCTTCCTGACAATGCATCATCATGGTCTCAAAGTACTTAAAATGTCTTCAGCAGCTAGTGATGTATAACCCTCAACAGGCCTCAGACAAGGTCTTTTAATGTTGCTTTTCCTTATCTGCTGAAATACCAGACAGCTTCTGGCACAGTTAATATCAGGACATTCGCTTAGAATTTAATTGACTCTAGACTCTCTGAACATTTTAGCAAGGTTATGTGATAAACAGATGCACGTGTTCCAAATGTGTGACTTTGCTCCCTCCTCCCCCACTGCCCAAACATCCCTTGAATTCTTCCCTTATGGAAAAGTCCTTCAGATACTGGCAGAGAAAATGGTTTCCAGCTAAAAAATTCCATGGGAGAGAGCAGAAAACATTTCTGCATGCTGACAGAATAAGAAAGGAATAAGTAACATATTCTTGTTCCTGTCATGAAGTGGTGGACTAGCAGCTGAAGCTATCTCTGTGATGTTAGTGCGAGACCTAGAGGATGACCATAAACATGGGAGGAGTCATTTGCTCTATTTTCCATGTGATTTTGTCCAAACTTAGTCCTTAAAAGAAGGAAAAGCAGCCAAATTTAGATCTTTCACACAAATCACATTTGCACTCCTATTTATTTGTACCTGGCAAAGTAGTAAGAATTTTATCCATGTAAAATGGATCCAGATATAAAACACTTGCCAATTTGGAAGAAATGGGACGTAGACATAATTATAAATACTGGGAAAATATTACCATTTCCTATAGTAACTATTTTTAGCTGGCATTTTATTTTAGATTTTAGACAAGTATAAGGGTCTCGTGTGGGAAAGATTGTACAGCTTAGATCAGATTTATGAAGCTAACTTTTTCCACTGGGGAAAATAACTTTCCAGATATCTCAGATGGTTGCGTGTTATCCAGCTACTAAATACTTTTTGAAAAACCTCAAGAAAAGTATTAGAATTTTAAGAAGAGCCTCTGTAAACTGGAAACCTGCTCTGTCAGTTCATGCTAATAGTGTAGCTTGAAGATAGTCAGTTCTTACTCTTCTACCTACTTTTTTTTTCCTCTTTCTGCTTCTGAATTTGAAGACGTTTTTCTTGTCAGGATGTAGACAATGCTCTGCTTAGTCTAGGATTTCTGCTGACCTTGAAGGTTTGTAGCTATTTTGCCCAGACTGGTTTTATGCTAGTGTCACTCCAAAGTCACTACTAAGATGTTACATTGACTTGGTCGCCATTAAATTCAGAAGTAGGCTGCACATCTCCAAGTTTGGTGATCTCAGACCCTAAGTACAAACACTATGAGCATTAATAAAATTTGTTTGAGATCTGGTCTTAAATTTTGTATATTTTGAAAAAAGATAGTGTGTTTTGTTACTCTAACCTCAGATTAGTCATTATTTTTTGTTGTTGCTGTTATTCATTCTGGACTAATGTGGAACATCTCATAGTATGAGAAAATTTACCCTGGTTTGGTTACAGCAACACAAAGAGGAGAAACAGCATTAAATGAGACTGTGACAAGGAATGAAAAATGCTTGTGTCCAAATACCTGAGCCAGTGAACTGAAACAGACATCAGACTCCCTTCTGCACTGGAAGAAAGCTGGAACTCCTGACTACCTTCCAGGCACAGGTTAATAATGATGCTGTTTGTCTGAATACTTAAATGTTCGACAGACAGGGATCAGGGAACATGACGGAGGACTGCAATGATCTTGTACAACATGCTGTCACTCGAGGAGCAATATGTGCTCTGCCCTGCTTGTGTGAGAAGTTCAGCTGATGAACAGTGGCCTTTCCGTGCAGGTTTAGTTTTATAAGGAAAAAAATGCGTTCACACCAAAGCAACATGTTTTGTTCTCTGCTATTTCAGGCCTAAAAGAAGTCGTCTAGCTTGACTGAAAGATGAACAAATTTTAGAGGTATTTTTACTTTATTTTAGTGTCAATAAATGTCTGAGATTGTACACACGAGACAATTCCACCTGGCCTGGATGTGTGACGGTGTGTCTGGGGGCTGGCAGTGTATGTTACAGACCTTGTGTGTATATCTGTTCCTGAGGCTTGTGATCTCTGCTGGAAAATGTTTTATGTGAAGTGTGACTGAAATGACAGGTTTGTAAAGCAGTTTTTCTTTGACCTCTTTGGCTGCCTTTTTTTTTTTTTTCTTTTTTTCTTTTTTTTTTCCTAGCTGCCTTTGCACATGTAATTTCCTTGCCTTTGCACAAAACAAGCAGGGGAAAACACAAGAACAAAAACAGAAAAGGAAGGTCACCAAGTAAAAAGAGAATGGTTTGTGAACCTTCATGAAAACACTAGAGAAAACTGAAAGACGGCATAAATGTATAAAATGTAGTATAATTCAGTTATATGATCACTTTGACCATGAAATGTAGTGAAAAACTCCAGTTTTGATGATTGCGGTTCATCAAAGATGCAGACGTGTATTGCAGTCAAAAAAATCAGCTATAGTGGAACAGGAGTAGAAAGAAAGGGCTTAAATCTTTGTTTTTACTGAAACATCCACTTTACTGAAACCTCCAGTTTCAAGACAGGAGTAAGGTCTGTCTGGAGTTAAAGAAAGAGGACCCAAAGATATTTTCCCTTAAAGGAGATATGTCTTCAAAGGGCAGGCATGAACCAAATACAGAATCTGGACAAGTTTAGTGGTGAAAGTCTGCAATACCTTCTACAAATGCATTCAAAACCAATGAAGAAGTCAAAATGAAGCATATACACATCATAGGTGATATCACTGTATGGTCATGTTGGTTTGCAGAAGTCTCCATGTAACACTGAAGCAAATTGTTTTACTATTGAGCAGGTTGACACTACAACATACACAGGTTTCTTACTCACGTTTGTTTGCTTGTTCCTAAATTCCTTCTCCCTCTGTAACCGGTAGTGGTCTATCTCTGCTATGGCTTCCTCTTTGGCCTGCTTCAGCCTCTTTCCGTTTCCTAATGGGGGAAGAAACAGTGACTTCACACTTGTCATTGTATCCCAAAAGATGAATCTCTCTAAATCAGAGTTATTTTACATGGCATAGTGAAACAGACAAAGCTTTGAACAGAAGAGCCAAAGTGATTAAGGTAGGATACTTTTTGATTGAAGGCCAGTTACACAAGTACCCATCATGTGAGACCAACTCCCTGTGAGAAAACACACATCAAAAGAAATGCTTGTTGGTTTGCTAACAACAGAAGTCTTTTTGCAACTACACATTTTCTCATAACACAAGTGCTTTTTTTATTCCTTTTTAAAAATCACAGCTTGGTGTTTAAATAAATATCTATCTTTCCTTCATCAGCAATAGTAGCAGCCAGATAACAGATTTTAGTTGTCACTGATGGGAAAAGATGTTATTCTGTAAGACTTGCTGTATTGATTGGTTGCCAGCATCCCTTCATCACACACCAACTGGATTCTGCTTAGAGCTGGCAGATTTCCAAAGTACTACAAGATGCATCTTAACAACTACCAAACTGAGTTGCAACCTTCAGGCCTTGTCTTCCTCTCCCCCACCCTTTTCCCCTAATATTTTTTAAATGCAGAGGTGAGTGATTAAGAGAAAAATGAGGTAAATGCTATTCTCTACCTACACATAGAAAATATGTAAGCGATTCAAAAGTCTTCTTTTTTTCCTTTGCTTTTTAAACAGGAGTGTGATCTGTAAGGTAGCATTTTAGGCTGTCGTGGAAGTTAGAGGCTTCCTCCTGAAGAGGCTTGTTTACATACTTAATTCTGTTCACTGTGAATAGTTACTTTGTCTTAGGTAAAATGCTAGGAGTTTATCAGATCAAACCCACATAAGTCATTGTAGGCCTGGTCGTAATGCAGGTCCTGGGTCTAGCAGGGATGTTATGTAAAGGACAGGAGTATAAAAGGTTTGATGGGATGCTTAAATTTTTAGGTGAAGCAAGTGTTGAACGTGTCACAACCACCCCATGGTGATGCATCTCTGTTCACCTGTTTTGTATAAAGTTGGATAAGTTGCATAGATCTCAACAGGACTCTGCTACACTACTTTGTGAGGGAAAAGTCACTTTCTAACTGATGGGGCTGTAAATATCTTCCATTGAAAGCTGATATTTGAGACATCCGGGCAATACTGATTTTGGGGGTCTCTTTCTCCTGTACAGATAGAATTTTAGGAGTGGGAGGGAATAAACTTGCTCCATTTTCTTAACAGGAAAAGTTTCTTTGATGGCTGAAAAAGCTGTTGCTTAGTTGTTTAAATTAGGATACCACAAGAATGAGAGAGTGGAGCTGAAAAAGGTATCTTGATCTGATGTGTGAAACATCAATTTTTTTGTTTATTTATTGTATCTACCTACTTAACATCACTGAGCAATATGAACACTTCTGTAAGTTTGGTGTTGTTTTTTTCTGGTTTTGTTGTTGTTTGGTTGGTTTTTTTGTTTGTTTGGGGTTTTTTTGGGTTTTTTTTTGTTTTTAAAACCTTAAACTCAAGCATGAAAGTTGAAAATGGTACCTCTTCTGAAATTCTAAGGAACATTCTCGAACTAGGCTAGAGAGACAAGCGATAGTACTTCTGGTTTATTTTTTCCAGGATACTACTTGGGATTAGTTACACTTGTGCTGGGCTTCTGAAGCCTTATCAGGTGTGGCTTACAACAATCTGCTTCCACTGAGCATAGCACAATGAGGAGCAAGCTGAATCTTGTGAGGAAGACTGTTGGTTTTGATGCATCTGAGATTCAACAAAAGCCTGGGTAAAATGTGTGATCCAGGAGTAAATTTTTTGATGGCTCCTTCTGAAGTCATTATCTGGAGATGGGTGAGTAGAAGCAGAGAGATGCCTGAAATGTGATTTCCTTTTAAAGTCTTGATTCATGGACCGTTTGACTTTGTGACTGGCCTTGTGGGACCTGGGGTGTGTGCTTGTATTAAAGGCTTCTTACAGGAAGGAGCAACCTGATGAGGAACTAGATAGCTTTACTGACTCTCAGTTCACCAGTGCAGTGCTCTCTTGTACAGCTAATTATATTTCTCAGAGTCCTTCTGCCACTGTGCTTATTTATAAAGGGTCAGAGAGTCAGTTTAAAACTGAACATGTAGTTTCCTAGGGTTTGTATTTTTTTTATGTAGGCTGATTCCCTCAGCTTCTGCCATTTGCTCTACGAAGTCTTGGGACCAGTGTGCATGACCTGACAGATTTGTGTAAGAGCCTGACCATCAGTCTGGACAACATAATTTGGAACTAGGTTTATGTCTTACTTTGAAGTTTCTTTTATGCTTCTCTCCAAATTTGGAGCCAATCAGCCTTTTAAAGAGTTTCCTCTAGGAGTGGAGCTGGGGGGTGATTCTCTGGAGCTGGAAGTTGAGGGAAGCGACTGTGATGAAGCTCTGCCAATTTCACCAGCTGAGGAACTGGATCTTTACAGCAAATTAAATTATTTCAAAATCAGTGGGATTTTAATTTCAAATTCCATCTGGGGGTCCATCTGTAGGAAATATGTTGCGTATTTGGACACCAGATAGATAAATAAATCCATTTAAAATGCAGAAAATGGACAGAGTTTAACTGTAAAACAACAGTTTGTTTGTCTATGACAATGTATCTGGTGAACCAGAAAGTGTATATATACATATGTGTCACCTCTTGACAGTGCACTGGAGCAAGCACAATACATAGGGTGTCACTGTAGGGTGGCAGCCATTTCATTCTTCTATCATGTCTTTAGGATTGGCACAGCAGGAACCTGCTGCTTCCTATTTAATTAAGTGGAAAAGCTGTGAGTAAATTATTGCTAGTTCAACAGCGTTGTGGACAGAATCGGCAACTGCCAACATATGCGCTAGTGCATATGCTGCACCTGATTAAGTTGAGCAGAAACTAGAGCTTAACCTGCTGTTTCACTAGAGACAAACCAAAATTAATTAGTCTGTTATTAACCACTTGTCTGCTACCTTAGTTGTGCGATACAGGATTGCCTTTTCAAAGTCTTGCTGATCCACTGGATGCAACTCTCTGGAGAACTCAGCTGAGCTGAAAGTGAACCATACATACCGAAGGGTGGCAGAGCATTGGCATTTAGCCAAGGTCATGTGAAAAGAGGGCAAGAAATACAGAAGGATGGGCAAACCAGCCTGTCCCTACAACATTTCCTGTACGATTGTAAAGGTGAGGTACAGAAAGCTCCAAGGTGGAGGAGACTTCTGCCCCAGAGGGCATGCTGTGTGGGCCAGGTTTCTGCTGACCCTTTGTCCCTCCTTCCCATCCTTAAAGACCGGGAACAGCAGAGCAGCTGTACTACACCTGGTTTCCTTGTCCACTGTTGTCCATGATTATGGCAGCTGACAGCCTATGAATCTCTAGGCATCATGCTATATTGGCCAAATCTTAACCAGCTTCCTGTAGCAAGTCAGCGCTCTGGTTGGATCCAAAAGAACTGGTGAAGTTTTTTACCTTGTTGGGATTTTTCAGATCTTGCAAGAAAAAAGACAGTAGCAAGTGAAAATGTTGCATTCTGATTTGCTCAGACACTAGGTATTTTGCTTTCCAAAAACTGCCATGTTAAAGTTGGCTTTCTGTTTTCAAGCATATCATCTAGGCTTCTAGATGAATTTCTTCACAGATATCATGTCATATGAAGAAATTGCCAAAAATTAACGCTATTTTCTTTAAATAGGACCATTTCAGTTGTCTGCCAGAGTGTTAAATTGTCTGCAAAATGGGATTTAGGGATGCTCATTTTGAGAAGACTATTTTGCACTTTTAATAAAACACAACAGATCTGTATGTATAGCTTTTTCAGCAGAGAAAATGTGTCCTGGATATCTTATTTCGATTAACATTAAATTTTAATTGGATTTCCTGAAATCTTTCATCTGCGTTTTCATTTTATTACACACTAGAAATTCAAGCCAAGATACAGAAATCTATAGGAAAACAAGTTTTGCTAAAGCAAATGTTAATGACAAATTAATTTCCTTTGTTTTACTCAAAAGGAGTTTCAGGAATTGACGCTTTGTCTCTGATAATGCTCACTTATTTCTAGGATCCAAATTATACTTAAAGCAAAATGATAGATAAAGCAATGCTGAGTATAAAAGGCCAAAGGTTCGCAGACGGTTTAATCAGTTTAACAGTTTCAGTCTTGCACTTGTGCATTTACCAACAAAATTTTAATAATTTGTCAGGGATAAATTACATCAGCCAATGATACAGTAAAGGTATTGCAAGCCAGGAAAAAGGGTACTGAGGTATGAAAAAACACATACAGAGGAGATTTAGCACTATATTTTTGCTTTGCTTCATGTATGCAAATATAATTTTATTTATTTTCTAATTTTTCAGGTATCCAAAATGTATTTTGCATTACAAAGAGTTGCACATATGTCACCAAAACCTAGGCCAATTATCTGTTTGTATCCAGTACTGTATGTGTTCATGCTACATTGTGATCGGGTTACGTGAGTGTCAGCTGTAAACACTGAAGGGTTTGCATAAGGATAGTTTTGCTAATCACATTTCCTTGAGGGTGACTTTTCCTGGTTGTGTCTCGTGAGCGATCTGCTGTTCGTTCATCTCACCTTACACTGTAAACAGAGTAGCTGGACTCATGGGTATAGTGCTGTGCACTGTTTGTGGTGACAGAGGAGGTCATCTGTACGGCTCAGTGGGGACAGGACTGCCCTGGCACTTGCTGGGCAGGTTCATTGCTTTCACTTGCAGTCCAGGTCTGCAGAGAGCCAGGTCCTGAGCAGAAGCTGCTGATCTGAACTGGTACCAGGTGGATCTGAGCTGCTGTTTTCTGGGGTGAAGCAGCACGTCCTCACCTTGCTTAACCGAGCTGTGTGTGCACAGGTTAACCAATTGCTCCGGTGATATTGGCTGCATTTTATATATCCTTTTATCTTAGCTTTTATGCAACTGTACAATCCTTTATGCTGGTCTAACTGCAGAATCACTCTGGAGAAGAGACTGTTGAAGCAATTCTGACGTGGCTTAACAGGATTTGACACTAGAAGAATCCCTTTTGTCTTTGTCAAGGTCTATTTAAGCTATGCTGATATCATTAGGTGTTTAAAGTGGCACAGTGACATTCACATGAAAAATACTAAAATCAAGGACGACATGCAAATTTTTAATTTTTTTATTTAATTTTGTCACTTCACTGCAAACTTCTTGTTGAATATAATAATGATTTTCTGGGTATGATTATTTAGTTAGATTAGCTGTAATACTTGGTTTAACACAAAATTGAGGGTGGATTAGTCCTTAGAAAAACCCAAATCAGAATGACATGACCTTATGTGTGACAATGAACTCTAAAATTCACAAGAGTTTTGCTGTTTGTACCCTAGTAGAAACTGTTGGCAATATTTAACGTGAACAAAAAGATCTACCCAAGTCTTTTGGCTGTAGAAGAATATGCCACATCATCAGTTATTTGAACTTTTTGCTCTTTATCTGCTATACTTGCTATACTCTCATTTCAGCTGAGTCCTGCAGGACAACACTGTTTCCTACTGCTGGTTTCTAAATCAAGATAACTCCATAAAACAGTATTAATGTTTCAGTGCTAATGCACATCAGTGACTCATGTGGTTGCTGCTGACATTCGGGAGGGTAAAGCCAGTGTATTTTTCATGAAATAATTAGGAGCTGAATGCAGAAAAAATAGGTAATAGATAATGGGAAGACTCTTCTAGGAGGATTATTTATTTGGTTTGAATTATTCTATTAGACACCTTCATTTTGATATTTTTTATTACTTTTTGCTTATATTTGACTAGAATAAAAGTCTTTGAATTTATTTTTATTATTATTGAATACATATGCATGCCTTGCCCTGGGCATTTAGGCATTCAGTAAACAAGATCTTTATTTTAAATTAAACATTTAATGACTTGCTGATTACTAGTACCGTGTAATAAGACTTATATGAATGACCTACTACAGTACTGACAGTGCTTGTGATTGCACTGTGACTTTGCTATCATTGCGCTGAAGTCTCCCTTTGTTTCCATATAATTTTTTTTTGAAACTCAGCTGAGGTTACTCATCTAAATTTTCTAAGTGAAGAGGAACACTGAAAAAATTTATGCAAGACCTATGAAGAGAAAGAGAGAGTTTAGAGTCTGCTCCTCCAGAACTGCCAGCCAGAGGTGTGTAGGCTTCTAGTTTAACTAGCTAAGGAAGGCTGTAATGACATTATTGGCATCGAGACAAGGCAAGAACAAAACTAGCTGCCAGGATGAATGTAACAAAAAAAACCGCTTGCTTAATATAATAAGGCAAATGTGTGCACACATGCACACAAAATTTGAAACATACTTTGAATGTTCAGGTTTGGTGAAATGCCTGGCTGCAGTCAAGGCATGGCACTAAGGCAAGTGAGAAGAAAGAACAGGAGCAGCACAACTGTGACGTAGACAGATGAAATAATGTTGTTTTTCTGTGAGCCACTGTAATTCTGAAGAGCTCGCAGTCAAAAACTATAGTAAAACCAGGCCAGCTACTTACTTTTTTTGGCTTCCTCCAGTTTGTCCTTGGCACGTTTTTCTGCCTGCAGAAGCTGCTGAATTCCCTGAGACTGGCTGGTCATGCTGAGTGCTGAGGCTGTTGCACTTCTGCAGGGACTGGAGCTCGGAGGGAGTTTTATACAGCTGCCAGGCTCTTCCTTGTGTGTTTCTGTTATTACAACAGCCTTCCAGATTGCACCAAACCAGCTGGCTCTGCCTGGACTGCTGCTGGGCAAAAAGGCGTGCTAGTGCAATCAGAAAAACACAGCAGCGAGGTTGAAAAGAATGTTCTTCCCTCCTCAGGGTCACAGAAAAGCTGAGTGCCTGATTAACACATTAAGAAAGGAAGAGAAGAGCACTCTGAGTGGCCTGTAGCTTGATGGGGAATTATTTTTTTTTCATCTTTTCTTCCTGAAGTAGAATATAGTTAGCCTGGTCAGAGGAACTAAGGGGGGAAAATAAATATTTCTTGGTATTTCCTTTTAATAAAACTTCCCCTGTATGTGGAGAATTAGGCTCGGTCAAAAAGTAGTTTTGGTTGAACATAGTGAACTGATTGTAGGCTTATATTTGGTGTTAATTCTTAATGTTACATTATAGAGTTTTTTTCACTTACAAAAATCTTCATTGGAAATGAATTAATCAGGGACTGAAGTTTAAAAAAACATGTGGTGGTTGATGTGTGCTCTGCGTTGTAATCTGCCATGAGGCAGATGAGCGATGTGGTGGGAAACTGTGGGATTAGCTCTAAGATCCAGGCTCTGGGAAGGGATGACTGGTGGTCTAGGTCTTACTTTCAAGTACTAATACACACGTCAGTGGAATGAACACATGAGCATGTCTGTAGATGCACCTCTTTTTCCCTACAGTAGGAAAGAATGTCTCGTGAGTTACTGCATGAATAAGCACCATCTTCATATTTTGAACCCTTATTAAAAAACCCAACAAATGCCACTGTCACAGGTACTTTGACCATCACACAGGAGAAGGATATGTCAAGGTGTGTAATTAAAATAAATCTATTTTTCTTTTTAAATGCTTCGTAGCATGAATAAAGCATATTTGTTGCAAGTTCCTCTGATACAGCTGTGTCAGAACCAGAGATCACTTTCTGTTGTAAATTGTTTTTTCTGGCTGCAGTTATACCTGTATTTATACATATGTTTATGGATGTGATTTCTGCATATATTAAGAATAAAGTACATACATATAAAAATTATTTGGTGCTCTCTGATAATGGCCCTTTCTGCAGGGCACTTCCTTTTCTGGGGCTTCCTAGGGCAGCTGTGCCATGCTGCTCACTTGCTGCAAGGCTGTTACCTGGTCCTTATGAGGAAATCTGTGCTGCTGTTATGAAGGTGGTCCACCCCCCTCCCCACCCCCAGTCGCCCCCAACAGCTGTGAGCTTGAGGGGGAAATGGAGGGAGAAGCCTCTTGCCATGTTCCTGTCTTCAGCTATGCTCTGAATAACAGTAGCACTGAGACTTTGAAAAGGAAGTTGTTTTGGGTTTTGATTTGTGATATTGTGCAGTCAAATTCCACCCAGGCGCCCTCTAGGGAAGCTGCCGATTTCTTACAGTCTGTTAGTCACCAGGTTTCTTCCTGCATGCAGAAATTGTGCAAGATGTCTCCTCATCTCCAGCCTTGAAATCGGAGGCCCACTTTAGCTGCAAGAGAAAAGACATGGCACGATTTATTTGAAGATTTTAACACATGGCCTTGCAGTTTATTGTATTCAGACACAGAGGAGGAAGAGATGATGAGTTGTACAGAAAATGTGGAAACTGTAAGGTTAGAAAGCCTGTTGTACCACTGGGGCTCAGCGTTAAATGAGCTTTTCTGACTGGCAAAGAAAAGCAGAAGTGGAAAATGAAAGTAAAAAATGAAGAGATTTGGTTTACTTGGGGGAGGAAACTTGGGCTCAGAACTTTAAAACAGTAGTTACTTAAAAATTAAATAGGAAGTGGAAATGTCAGACGTCTCAGACATCAAAAGTATATTCCAGGGAAAGGTTCTTGTCAAGCAAATCTCACTGTTGCAAGAGATGTTACAAAACTGCTAGCAAATGAAAGTGGTTTGGAGTTCAGGACTTGGCTGAAAGCATCAAGGGTCAGACCCTTTGGTTTTTAAGATCAGTTCTCAATGCTGCAAGTACATTATGGGGGCCTCAGTAATGATCTGAATTTTTATATTTCCAATTTGTTACTATTTAACAGAAAATAGTTTAATGAATTTTAAAGGGTTAAAAATCCAACCTTGAACAGATTACAAAGCTCTTTCATTGTTAAAAAAAAAAATTGCATTTCTTAAACAGATTATTTGAGCTGCAGATATCACAGTTCACATATTTCAGTGTTTTTCCTGACTAATTAAAAAAAAAAAAATCTCAGTTTATAATTTTCCTTGTAGCTGGTTCATATACCAGGGTGATGGCATTCCATGCTGGCACCCCTCACCAGGCAGGTACTGGTATGCCCTTGCAGGGGAGAAGATGATAATTTATTTTGGCTGGTGCTTGTACATATTTTGTTAGACTGCACACAAAGTAGTGCCACTTAGAACTAATTTCAAAGCTTGTCTGATGATGATTGTGATGATCTCAGACTGTGGTGACATGGCACCTCTGTGTATCACACTTCATGGATAATTCATTAAAATAAAGTAGGTTGAACCACCAACTGACTGAACAAGCTCCTACTTCATCACACAAGCTAGTAAGAAACTTCTTGGTGTCATAGTCTCTGGGTTTCTTTCCAAGTCAGCTCCAGACTCATCTAATTAGAGATGAGAAGCCAATGTGGTGACTGGT